TGTTGTTGGACATGGCAGTGGTGGAATAAATGCGTTGTGAGATAAAACAAGAGTGTCCTTAATGGAGTAACCCAGTAAACTCAGTTACATCATTACAAATGATCTACAGATAATTTGTGAAACTAACATGGTTTCTTTTGTGAACTTTCTGGGATCTTTAACAATTTAATTAATAAAAGTAAAAAATATACACAGTACAAATAAGATGTCACACAGCAACAATTAACAGTTCTCCCTACTCCCTAGTTTATACCATTAATGCCAGCTTTTCACTATAAAATTCAGCAGTTATGAAGTTGAAATTATATGCAGACCTGCACATGAAATGTTTTTATATAGAAAATGAACACATATTGTAGACCTGCATCTTATCTGGCTGGTAGATGCATCATCATAAAAGTCACTTTCCCCACACAGATTGAAGAAAATGAGCAACAGTCCAGCTCTCAGAGAGGATCACAACTGTCTGTTAGCTAAGTCAGCATCCATGTTGGTGTTATCAGAAAACATCATGTTTGTATGTTTACTCTAGCATATGAATGAGATAATGTTCCATCACATTTTCAATTTGACTTCTTACCTCACAAATACCAAAATTTGGTACACTTAAAATGTTTTTTCCCCAGTACAAAATCTAGGGATCAGTCTGACACCGATTCAGGAGTTGCTTTACAGTCACATGCTGTTTTGCTCATGAGGACTCCACTCTCTTCCACACTATCACCATGTTCTTGTCACTGAGGGCCACCAGGTAACGGAGCTCAGGGTCCATTGCTACACTGTTGATGGAGGGGCCCTCCACCTGGCTGAGGCCCTTCCTGACCGGGTTTGGCCACTCCAACACCTGCCAAACAAAGAACTTGTTAGTTTTGAATACAGCCAAAGACATCCGAGGAGGACCTTTGTTATTGTGCGTTATCATAACCAACAGAAAAAGAAGATTCAAACCGACAAAAATGGTTCTTTACATAATATTCCACCACATGAAAGCAGAGTTATGAAGTAACAGGAGATTTAGAAGAGAGATGATACCTCAGTGGGTGACATGGGTTTCCCAGTCTGTAAGCTGTTTTCCTGGAGGGTGGTAACATGGTATGTCCATAGCCTGCCTTTGTCATCGCCACACACTATGTAGGCTTGGCCTAAAGAGAAAGAAACACACACACACACAATCTCAACCCGAATTCAGATGGCCATTTCCTCTGCTTCCCAAACACAGAGCACAGGAATATAGTATATTGGTCCAGACTCAAATGGAGACTAGACTGAAGTGCACTCATTACTATACTGCACAATCTAAGAATACAAATAAAATGGTAAAGCTATACTGATTAGATGACGTAGACTTACCAGGACAGGTGTTCAGAGCCAGGTAGGGGATCTCAGTGTTGGCCCATTGCAGCTCAGCCAGAACCACAGCACACACTGTCCTGCTCTTCTTGTTAGGCCGCTGTGCCTTGGTCCTGCTCCAGCTCCACAAATAAATGCAACCATGCATGAGGTTCTTGGAGGCTTGAGAAACATAAAGACCAATAATTTCAAAAAAATAAAACAAAACAAACAAAAAAAAACAAACAGTGGATGTAAAAATAAGGACCTGAATTAAAATAGCAAGATCTGGGAGCAGGGTTTTCGGAGATCTTTGAATGTAAATTTTATTCACATTTAACCACTGAGAATTAGATTAAATGCCAATTTACGACTGCAGTGGGGAAAAAAACACAGCTGGTAAACTGTCCTTAAGTTCCAAAACTAGAAATAAAGAAACAAATCACCATAAGCAACTACATGGAGATTTAAGCCCCTTCAGGGAAACAGCTTTTAGCTGTATTATAGCTAGTTCAATCTTACCAAATGTATGGTTAGATATTGACATAAACAGTTGGTCCACCCATTAGCGCTCAACTTAATTAAGGCACCATCATATGGCCTAGACCAACAATTAGTGAGGACATTAGTGTAACAGACCAACTTCAGTTCAAACTTCAAATTCAGTATCAACCAGAGCGGTGGACAGATCAACCAACCTCACCATCCCCAAATATTTTACTGTCAATAAAACAATAAGAGCCTCACTTACCCACTATGTCATCAGTAAGAAAACTCAGGCCATCTATGGTGTGGTAGTTGTGAGAGTCATCTTCTTTCTTATATATGGGGAATGTTATCTCCATGTCTTTGGACCTATGGAGGAACAAAAAAAACAAAACAACCTTCAGGAGTATGAAGGATTCTTGTCTTGATTCTCACAGTTAACCTTAACCCCCTAATACATTTCATTATTTATCGGAGATTTCTGCTGCTTATTTTATAATGACCTGCAGTGCACAAACATAGAATGACAAAGACTGCTTTGCTGTACTTGAATAATTTGCTTAATATGAAATTATAGAGTGATGAGAAATTGACCAGAAAAGATGTGTAAATGTCCTGCTGCAGCCTTTTTTCATTAATCTGCCAGAATTTAGTTCAGACTTGTGTTAGAAATGTTACAGAAATACTACGGCTAGGATTAGTGTTGGTCAAGAAACATTACAAAGTGCATGTCCAATAAGGAGCTTAAGGCACCGTCTACAGGATTTCTCTGAATAAACCTTTTTAAAACTGTCACTCACAAGTTCCACATTTGTAAAAATATATGCCCTCTAAAGCTCTTCAACACAAACTGATACTCATACACACAAGAACACAACATGTGCGTGCACACACACTGTGGATGCATTTACCTCTTTGTGGCATTGTCAGTACCGGGTTGTGGGTTGAAGCAGTGCAGGCCTTCTTCACAGGCAGCCAGTAGGTGTGAGGAAGGAGAAGTGGGGGGGAGACAGATGTGTATAGGGGTATTGCTGATCTCTAATACTAGCAGCTGACTGAAGGGAGAAACAGGGAAACGCTAATTTCATCATAGTCTGAACCTCTCTCATCTTTACAAAAGCAAACATACAGCCGAGATTGTTAAGACCCCAAAAACCTTCAATCTCAATTTCTATTCTAGCAGATACTCTAAGCTTGCTAAAATAGTGAATATGAATGACCAACCCTTGGCCCCACCACCACCACCCACCCAAACAAGGCATCAGCACAAGACCTGTCCAAGCTATACCTAATGCCAAGTGTCATGGGTTCTAGCCCATAAGACAGTTGAGCAATAAGCAGCATTTCATTTTTAATGGCCCTTTGCCAGTGCAAGGTGAAACTAATGAAGCTCAAAAGTTCAGATTTAGTTATACAGTTTAAAAAGAAACTCTCTGATCAAAATGTCATCCTAAAGACCAGTTTCAAGCCAGGAATAAAAGAGAATTACCACAGCAGAAATACTCACACAACTTTGAAGGTGTACTGGCTGTCCACACCTCCGACATCCCACATTACTATCTTTTTATCATATGATCCCGCTGCAAGACAAAATGTAAAGGCTGAATTGGATGCTGCTAGCAAAGCATGGAGACATTTGTCAAGTTAGAATGTCTGAACAGGAACTAATAGGAAGACAAGAAAACATGACTGGCTTCAACTCAGACATTGCTGGTTAGTGTGTCCATCTGCTGGTAATTTTACAATAAATATATCTGTTATGTTCCCAGACATCACTAAATAACTTGGAGAACCCAGTGAAACTGTTACTGATAGAAAAAAAAGGACATAAGTTGTAATTAAGTGGTATAATCCTTTCATTTGTCTGATGTTGGACCTGTGAGATGAGATGCTATGGGACTTCTTAATGGTTCGATGTTTATCTCCAACACGACTCACTGAAAAGAAAGTTTCCCTGGTGGTGGTTGAAGCGGAGGACAGACAGCGGCTTGCGGCTGGCTCTGAACTCCCCGTAGGCGATGTTGTTTCTGGGGTGGATCAGTTTGACCAGTCCTCTCTTCCCACCAGCTGCGAGGATGCTGCAGTGTTGAGCAGAGGCCCTGCCTCCCATGGACATCAACACCGTGGACCAGGCCAGTGAGTAAAACTCCTATTGGGAAGAAAAATGGATACAAACCACATAAGGCGAACCTCTCCAGCTTATTTTATGATATGTGTAGTCAGTTTTATCCACATTTAACAAGGTCACGTTTGCTGCACCACCACAGCTGTATCACACTGCCCACAGATTTGTAAACACTGGCAATAAGAAATCTTAAACTTAAATTGATGCATTAGGTGTACAAATGACCGCAACATCATAACAGCTTCTGTAATGACAGCTCTCAGATTTTATTCACAAGGAAGGAAGGAAGACCAGAAGGATGGAAAAGGTGCTGTTTTTTTTAATGTTCAAATGCAGCCAAAGAACCAAAAAGAAGTCTGATCTTTAAAGCAAAGTTACTGTAGACTTGGAGAATAAATAGGGCTGACCTCCCCAGGAACCTTGTATTTCTTCATTACCATCCCCGTTTCACAGTCAATTATGCAGACAGTGTCTCCACCACAGGTTGCAACCAAACGGCTTCCTCCACCACTGCCTGTTAATAGAGAAATAGAAAATGAGTTGATTACCATTTTCCTCTGATAAAGTTATAAAAAAAAAAGCTTCTTAAATCTATTTACAGATTTAAAGCTCTTCATTTTGACTATTCATGTTTTGTTTTATGCCCTGAAAGGACTTGTGTTTGCCTTGCTAAAAATTAGTGAACAGTACCAGTGAAGCCCGGCGGTGGCTGGAAAGCACAGGCCCAGAGCTGGGTGGAGAAGTCCTCTGAGCTGTCCTGTTTACTGTGACACTGGAGCACATGGGTAGGCTTCAGACACACTGGCTGGAGGAAACATGGATAATCAAAAGATGAAGGAGACAATGAGATAGGAGGAAGAAACTCAAATGACAAAACATCCCGATTAACCCAATAACTGCGCAAATTTCATGAGACTCTAGTCAATAGCTGGTGAGATATCTTGATTGATTGCGGTCCAAAGTGGACCGATGTATATACAGACAATCTAACCTTCCAACATCAACATCCAAAAAATAACAGCAGACAAAAAAACTAGACTGTGGACCAGAATGAACATCATTAATGGATAACCCTAAGCAGAACCTGCACAGCCTTTTTCCTAAACTACTGTTGAAGTTCTTGGACCTCCAAAAACAGAACAATTTTTGCAGTCCTACATATACTTTACCTCTGTCTTGCTGCAGCTCTTTATTGTGGACAGTATGTTGGCATCTCTTCTCACTTCTGTGACTCTAAAACCTTCTTTGCCGACATCGTCCTTCTGCTTGATCTGAGCATTGCCGTTGCTGGTTTGCCACACGTTAGAAGCCCTCCTGGCTGTCCCCGCCCTCGTCTGTCCTCTGGTGGGGGTAGACTGAGTCTGACCCGTCTTGCGGAGGCTCGACCTAATGGTGACGGTCTGGGTTTGTGACTGAGGTTTGAGGCGGAGGCTGTATTTGCGAGGACTGTCTTTAACTGGGGAGGCTGGGAGTTCAGAGCGTAACTTTTTATGAGGTGTCAGCCTTATGTTGATGTCAGTTTCTGATGTAGAACATTTTCTTTTGCAAGGCGAGGCTTCCTAAAAAAAAAAAAAAAAAACATTGAACTTTAAATCAACTCTAGGACTCATTTACTGTACATATTAAAACATCCTATATTTTCTGTATTATCCCACATTACCTATCACTGCTGTGGTTGTAAAACAGTAACAGCGGTATGGAGGAAGCCACCATTTCACTCCAACTACACTGTGCAGTTTAAGAATCACAATGACCATCCAGTCAAGTTTGGTAAGCTTGGTAGTTTTTTAAAATAGATAATTATTGTAGGGCTTTATGTGAATATTGTCTTGTTCATGTTTCTGCGTATTGCCTTGTGTGTCTTGTCTGCCTTTTATATCTCTTGCACAACGCGCCTGGAGAACCATAACTTCGTTATGCTATGCACTCCTAGCTGTATGGTCTTGAATGACAAAGTACACTTTGACTAAAGACAGTTTGGTAAAGCAGACCATCTTCTGAAAACGTACACTGTTCTCTTTTGCATCAGTGGACTCATTGCTCTCCAGTCTTTTGTTTGGTTCTGTAAGAGAGCGCAGATACTCCTTAGCCAGAATCTCCACCTAAAACCAAAGGAGACAGAGAGAGAGTAAAGTAACATAAGACAACCCAAAAGAAAACATGTCCTATAAACTCTCTAACATCCTTTATATACCTTCCATTTGGTGAAGTCATTGACTGAACTGGGTCCAAACTTCACTTGTTGGCGGGCAGTGTTGACAAAGTTTGTCTCCAAGGTAGATATTTTCTGTGCCGTAATGGGATCCGGGAGACAAAAGCTCTTCTCCCAAAGGGCAATCATCTATAATAACCAAAGACAGTTTATACACCAACAGCAGCCTGTACAGTGAAATACTGCTGTACTGCCACATGTGCAGCAGATATACGTCACTTTGAAACACTACTGTGACATCATTCTTAGCCTATGACAGGACTTAGTATAGACTATATTGGTGGATTACTGACACAACAGAGCTAGTACCATATAAAAAGGCAAAATAAGAGATCAGTTTCATACCCTGGTCCTCAGATTTTCAGTGTAGACATAGCGCACGTGGTTGGCAGTAGTACTGATATCTTTACCGTTGTAAATCCTCAGATTGGGCAACAACACCATCAGTTTGTAATTATCACTCACCTGAAGAAGAAGAAGAGTAACATTAACTTCTCCATTTCTAGACACACTGCAGGGTTTCTATTAGCCAACAGAGCCATTCCACTCGGTCAAAGCTAAACAAATGATTTTAGGAATGAAGTATAATGTGACCATGTCTTTTGGCCCAATCACAGAACTGACAAATAAGCATTGCAAGATAAAAAAATAACAAAGAATTACGCCTGAATTTATCTGCTTTTATTCCTGCTATTTATTTTTCTATTACTGCCAGTGGATTTCCAAAGCAAAATAGCCAGTAATAGTAAAGTGAGGCAGACTTCAGACACCTAGAGATAATTTAATGTGTCATAATCTGCATGTCTTTCAACTGTGAACGACACAGACACAGTGAGAACATACAAGCTCCAAAGAAAACCCATTGCTAACTGTCAGGCAGCATTGCTAACCACTGACACACTATGTATAAATGATCTGTATTAAATGAGATTAATAGAGTTCATGTCTTCTACATTTCTGCTCCATAAAAAAAAAAACTCCCTAAAATTATAAACAGTGAACAAAGACACTAGCCATGTCCTCACAGTGATATAAAGGTTGTCCTCCATCTTCAGCTCTTCTAGTTTGCCTAGTGACTCCAGAGTGGTAACATCCTCCATCTGGTTGTCGCTGAGGTCCAGGTAGCGAAGTGCAGGCAGCTCCAAGTTCTTGGGTAATTTCTGCAGTTTATTCCCTGACAGATCCCATCGCTCCAAAGACTGAAGACGGGACAGCAGCCGGACTGGCAAATCCTGATGCTTCAACCCCATCCTAGACAGACTAAAGAGCAGAGAGCTTCACGTCAGTGTCTCCACATAGGATGGAAATATATCATACAAAAATACATATGCAAAAAAAAAAAAAAAATCCTGGACAGTACAATGGGATCATGAGCTAACACCTACAGAGCAAACACTATCATAAGGAGGAAAAAAAAGCATACTTACTTCAGTGTCTTGATTTGCTCCAGCTTCTTGGCTTTTGGAGAGCCTTTCTCCAGTAGAAGTTTCTCAGTTATTCTCTCCATTGCTTATCTGTAGAGATGACCAGGATTCGATAATGACAACATCAGAGAAACAACCATAGAACAACAATGTAGTAGGAATAGTAGTATTAGAGGGTTAATTGTTTCTGCTCCCTCTTCTGTAAGTTGCTCTTTAATCGTAGCACTATTTAAGATAATGGGTGGAGTTTTTGATGAGCAGGTCTGTATTTTATTTTAGCATCAAATGTTATACTGCTATGCACATGAGGACATGCAGTATCTCTATGCAATGCACATCCCATTTGATGGTTTTGCGGTGTTCCAGTGACTGACAGTAGGTGGCAGTAACACACCAAGAAATGGCAGTGAAGAAGCAGACTATTGATTGTAAAGTCAAAAACATACACAACATATTTTGGTGAGAAACACTGAATGGAAACATACAGAATAAAAAGTGTCACTAAATAATTGCAATAGCTCCCAGCCTTTTTGTAGCCTATACAGTCCTATAAATAATTTCAGGAAGGCCAGCTAAATGTGCGGGATGTTATTTATACAACTGTAAAAACTGTTCCAGTAATTTTTTCCTTGTAGGGTTGGGTCAGATTTGCAGTTGTACTACTAACCACATAGAGAAGCTATTGGTTTCTCAGATTATTTACTGCCTTGTTTTCACATATTCAATCACAGCATGTGGTATTAAGGCATTCCAGTCAGGCTAGTAGGAGGCATGTCCTGTGAAATCTGACTAATGTTAGCAGTAGCTTGTAAGTTACTGCGACAAAAAATATACTTTAGGTCAGCCTCACAGCAATTTGCATTCCTGTTTGTGTGGTGTTGATCCACCTAATCACAAATATGTGCATCAAATCATACCTTCCACTTTTTCAAATTAACTGAATTACTCTCCCACTTTTCTAAGAAGTCCGGGGAACTGCAAACTTACTTCCTGGGTTCCTCGGAAATAAAAAAAACCATATCGCAAAGAGTGAGAACAGGTCATTCTGGTGATAATGGCCAGAGACAATAACCAAACAACAACACTCAAGTTTCAAACATACTAGGTTTTGCAGCTCGAACATACATAATATACATACAGCATAACATACAGAAAGACATGCTGTATATCGTATATCTGTTTTTTTAGTGTATATTTGTTGTAAAATTTGATTACGTCAATAACAAACATTCTTAAAAGTAACAGATTAGCTAACCACGTTGCAAAGACCCACTGCCATTTCTAGGCTATTGTGTTGACACTGTAGAAAATAAATCCCTTAGTGTTGAGTTGAACGCACATTCTAATCATCTATCGCCATCTAAGCAAACATTAGATGTATTTACATTTATATATGAATACGTTAATGTTAGAGGATAAAGTTAGCGCTACGTACCTACACTTCAGCAACTTGGAGGAAAATGAGCTTTCCCGCAGAAATCTACGTACTTCCGGGAGGCGGGGTTTAAACAATGTTTTCTTTCTTTTTTTTTTAAAGCCCTGAGCTGAGCCTGCCAGGCAAAACTGCTCTGCCGTCCCAGGACTGCACAATACCCCAAAGGCTGAAGTTTACGTTTTGTTTTATATAATCTTATTACTTTTCAAAATACTCCACCAAGTACAGTATGAGCTATAACGGATCACACATCTTCCATTGGTCTGGAAGAGAGACTCGTTGGAAAAATAAGTGTCTGTACACTGGTGGAAGAAGAATTTCGATATTTAACTAAAGTAAACCAGAAAGAGCAATACTACAATGTAAAATAGACATATTAACTACAGACATACCATTAGTAAGATAGTATCAAAAGTAAACATATGTCCTGATTCTGATTAGTACTGATGCATTCACATGTAAACCTCATTTTAATGTAGTAAATAGTCAAGGTGAATGTGAATTCTAATAAATTTATGTACCAAAATTCTAAAAATACTAACTAAAAGATCACACCAAAGTTACAGTCACAACTGCAGGAAAATCCACATTCTAAACAAATAAGGTGATGATGTAAAGTGTGCATGGCTGAAAGTACTTTTTTATTAAAAGGCAAAAATAAAAACAAAAAACTGCAGTCTGCAGATTATACTACCTCTAAAAACATCTGGATTTTCACCTAATCTTGGACCAGAGTTCTCTTCAGTACTATTTCATGTTTAACAATTCAAAGTGCAGAACGTTCATCGAGTCTCTGGCGTGACATCTCTGAGAGTGACATCTTCACTCTGTTGAAGGAGGCATTCCCTGAAATGAGACACTTTACGAGAGTCAAATAGTCAAGATTTCCAACTCTGGTGGTCCAGTCTTCCTCTGTATCATCAAATTATTTTATACTGAAGTTCCTTGAAAGCTCAAAGCAATGTTCAACAGCAGAGCTCCCAGCTCGGTCTGCTGCCCTCCAGGTAGAAATTCTGCAGACAGCTCTCTGTAAGTGCTGCAAACTCTGCGCTCAAGAACATTATCCCTATGAATGGCATGTTTCCATCTATGCCGTGCTTCACCATATAACACAACTAAACATCTACGAGGAAGACACACAGCTACCTGGACTTCCTCTGTTAGTCCCAACTCTGGCAGACCCTGTTCAAGGGACATAGTGAGTGTTGTGTTTGATAACATGTTGATGGTGACCAGGCGCTCCCCCCACAGCCATAAGTCATCCAAGTGTGGATCAATGGCAGAACCTCGCTCAGGATGGTAATCCAGATTGCACTGCTCCACTGGTTTGAAGTCTGCTAGACTCGGCTCTTGCTGCATGCGGAGCACAAGTTTTTGGCTTAAAACAGGGAGTCCACTGAATCTGCCCACACGTACTTTCTTTTTCTTGAAGTTCACTTTTGGACCAAAGTCCTGCAACAATAGCAGAAGAGACTTCCTTACTTCATTAGTAGATAACAATATCAACAATAATAGTACTACTACTACTACAAAATAATAATAATAAAAAGAAGAATCATCATCATCATCATCATCATTCTAATAGTGTAATTTTTATGGAAAGTCACAAAGAATTGTGGATCATTATATTTCACCAACTGTTTATTTTGAAATTCACTCCTGTTTGACTGGAGTCTGAGGGTCTTGCAGAACATTCCTATGAGTGTTGCTGCATCTGCTAGGATATTTTTGGCTGTGCAGGGAGTGTCACTGACTGAATCAAACAACGCTAAATTATAAGGATAGAAATAGTGGCAGACAACCAATAAGTTTTAACAATAATAAAAATGTACATATTTTGATTATACATTGAGAGTTTGCTTGTTCTCCCTGTGCCCCCCGTTCAGGATAAGCAGTATAGATAATAGATGGATGGATTACATATTAAAATTTTTATTCATAACATGACATAGATGTTACACACTTAACAGCTATGCCCTAAAAATGTGGATTTATATATTATAATCTGCGGTTAGACAAGCATATGTTGGTTTGCTTCAGACCATGTGTTCCACATAACCTGTTTCCTTCGACCAGACTGGGACTGAATCCACACATCCTGGTCCATCGTGCTTATCAGCTCCTTCTCTTCATCTTCTGATATGAAATTCTCCCACAGGAAGACGCCAGGAAAGGGAAAGGATAAAGCCTTGGCATTTCTGCAAATGGCAAGCCTCGTCTCAGGATCGTAGCAGAAATGATGCACAACCTTCACACACACACGCACACACACACACACAAATAATAATAATAAATAAATAATCTACACATTAATAAAAAATATATAATCTACACATTAATAAGACAAAACATTCCCAATATTGTCATTTCTGATGACAAACCACCATTTTACAGCATGGAATTAACATCTTTCTAGGAAAACTGGCAGGTGTATAACTTTTTGGTCACATGCTATCTAATCCTAAAAGGTCAAACAGAGTACAGTAAAACTATAATAGGGGGACATACTGCACTGAGTACGTGTACTTTTTTTTATACTTTAAGTACATTTTCCTACAAGAACATTTAAATTTACTTACATAATATTACTTAATATTTCCAGAGCAGAACTGTACTTGTAATGGTGTATTTTTAAAGACTGGGTATGACTAAATCACTTCCCACACAACTATTTTCTAGTGGGCACATAAATGTGGAAATATAAAAGTGGATGACTTCAGCTGTGAACATCTGTGCCCCATGTGCGCAGTGGGCATGTTTTTTAAAACAAGAAAAGCTGGTAATCAATATGATAGGTTATGCAGTAATAATGACAAAATACACAAACAAAGTGTCTTAATTAGAAACTATGACCGTACACATTAGTTGATTCAATTATTCCTTTGTAGAGGGGAAGGAAAGTTCTGTGAGGGTACCCGTAGCTAGTAGTGATTGGCGTTAGCGATCTATGCTAGCAATAGATGGGCCCTTTCTCTGTTGATAAAACAATGTAAAATATAGTTTTCAATGCGTAATGTTTACCTTAGGTCTACTCGCCTCCAGCTCTCCTTTACTCTTAAATTTTTCACAAATGAGACATCGCCTAATTCCTTTACAACCACATGAAGTAACACCGTCATAGCTGTCAGGAGCCGTCATCCTGCATCTTCTTCTTGTGTTGATAGTGAGTAAACCTGTAAACCCGATAAATATCGCCACCTAACGGAACCTGTGGGCTTATTCACTATCATCTGTATGAGCCATGGATCTTGTGGATAGATCCGCGGTATGAATAGTCTATTAAAACAACAATTTAGTAATGTTCGTATGGTGAACGGAGTAAATGTCAAGGTCCACCGCTGTTCGCTGATTATACCTATATTTTGGAAGGCTGCTGGCGGACATCCTTGTTTATGCCGGCTGACGTTTAAAAACCACAGAAGAAGAAGTAGAAGAAGAAGGAGATGGAGAAAAAGAAGAAGACGACATCGACATCCTTGTTTACTCTGCTTCTAGGTTGTTGGCTGGGGTTGCAACACTGCTTGTTTGTTGGTCGCTCTATGTGGCTTATTAACACCTCGAGTTTATGATAAACCGGCTTGATATCTCAAGAGGCTCTGACTAGCCGTGGTCAGGAAGCGATCGATATCTGTCTGACAGTAGACATAACTACATAACGAATATGTCCTAAGCTTGTATTTGGCGACGGAATTAAAGTGAGAGTGGCTTTTCAGATGTAGCTTGTTAGTTAGCTGCGCCGCGTAGAGTGTCCACACAGCTTTTTTTGTTCTGCTCGTGGACAGCATCTGAATGACAGATTATTTCCAGTGATAAGTAGACACGGGGCACAAAACAGCAATTGTCTTGTTGAAAAGACGCGTCAAGGATAATTCCTGGTTTTCGGTCTCAGCCCCGGGGCTAACCCCCGGTCGCAAAACCGATTTAATGGCCGGAAATCCGAGGAGGGCCGCCGGTCTCTTCGGCTTGATGAAGGACGCCTTTCAACCCCACCAGCAGCCTCTCCAGCCTCACCAGCCTGCAGTGGTTGATAAGAAAATGGTGGAGAAATGCTGGAAACTCATGGATAAGGTACTGACCATTGTTTTTTTAGAGTAACCGATTGTTAGAAACACAAAAAACATGCGAGTTATCAATAGTTCTATCTTCTGGACATGACCATATTACATTAGCTATGCACACATTTTGTCATAAATAGTTAATATCCTAAAATTTGATGTATTATCAGACAACCATCAAGAAAGGTATTTTGAAATTTTTATTTCAGCATTTACTTGTGGAACTTTGTTTATATGAGAACAACGAACCCCCCAAACTGGAGTACAGTGGTGTCCTTGATGAATAATCTAATTGTGATTATTTATAGTGAATTAGGTCACAGTTACCACAATCTGACCATTTTGCCCAGGACTTTGTGGAAACACCATAGATGTCTCTGCGAGGTTTCCCTTTTTTTTTGGTATTAGATCAAAAAAGAGGTGCTTGTTTGTTATGTGGGGAGAAGTATTGGTTTTATACAGTATAGTCATTGTGGTCTGTCACTCTGGTATATCTTTTACTCAGTCCTAACTGTACTAGACCAAAGAGAAGAAAGAAGAGAGGAATGAGGAGATAAGAGCTTGCTGGAAATAAAATCGGGGGGACAGAGTAAGGACAGGGACAGCATCTGATAAGACAGAGGACAATGCATCATTGCATGCCGGTGTAGTGTGCTGTGCAGAGACGTGGCTGTGCTGCCTTATTCTGTCCAACAGTATGATGTCGGTATGAGTAGATGTGGCGTGGCAGAGTTTAATACCTGGCTCATATTCTTCCACTCAGACCTGGGTGATAATACAGTATTAGGGTGTTTTGCCTTGCAGTTGACTCATACCTCATAATATAATGTGATCAGAAAATATCAAAAGGAGTTACTGAAGGATTTTACCCATATCTCCAAACTCAGGTTGAGGTAAATTTAAGAGTAGGAATTGGTTTTGTGGATATAGCATCTGAGTGGAAATAGTTCAGCAGAGGTGTGATGATGTTTTCTTTGACCTTGTGACCTTTGCTCTAGTGTCATCATTGTGGCAAAAGCTCATCTTTGTTAACAAAATATCTCATAATCTAGTTGGTAAATTGGCGTGAAGGTTTCTGAGCACATTTAAAACCCACGTGGGATAAGTCCTTTTTATTTTAATGATCTTGTAGCCATTCATCTAACATCACCTCTGGGCGTTTATGCCAGGGCTGAGGGTTTTAGTCTTATTTTTTTCCATGTCATGTTTTCATTTTGTTTGCGAGTTATAAGAAGGTACGTTGTTTTTCCTATCCAGGTGGTGCGCTTGTGCCAGAACCCCAAGGTGGCATTGAAGAACAGCCCGCCCTATATCCTGGATTTGTTGCCAGACACCTACCAGCACCTACGCACCATTCTGTCCCGATACGAGGGCAAAATGGAGATCCTTGGGGAGAACGAGTATTTTCGCGTGGTGATGGACAACCTGACCAACAAGACTAAACAGACAATGAGCCTTTTTAAAGAGGCCAAGGAGAGGATGTATGAGGAAAATTCCCAGCCCAGGTGGGTTTATGTCCTTGTGAAATGTCATTCGTCCTTGTGGGTGCAGAAATAGGCTATTAAATCCAAATATAGCAAGGAAAAGACTTATGAAACAAGGAAAGTGTGTGGATAACTGACAGATGTTACCAAGATTGAGCTAATCACTCAGTTGGCACCATATCCATAAAATACACCCTGAAGATGATGATTCTATGATGCTGCCTAAAGTAGCAGTGCTGCTGCTGACCAAAGCTGCCTCTGTGTTGTCTGATGTATGGTCTGGACATGGATTACTGGGCTCTACAGTGTAGAACTGTACCTAATCAAAGTGAGCCTCATTTCCATGAGACTACAAAAAAAAAACACAATTCAAACTCCTTTACATTGTAGTGGCCTAGTTTTTGAACAGCAACTTCTTTATTAGGTCAACTTGAAATTGGCCTATTAAAGTACAATACATTATGGTGTGTGTGTTAGGCACATGATTTAAAGAGGTCAGTTAACTTTATTTAAAGAAAAGAACTGAATGACACTGCTCTATATCTGCTCTGGCTGCTAAAAAGTTTTTCCACAGATTTAACACTTTCCATCACGATGATAAAATGCAACTTGTGACTTTTGGCAAAAGTAGACCAGCCCTGTGAACTGAAGGAAAGTGACTCAAATGTACGATAAAGATGTGATTAAACTGTTGCAATCACATCCTCTTCCTGTTCCTCAGAAAGACATTACTAAGTGAAAGTTCACCCTCCTCTGATGCACTCTGATTTTTGTCAGGCGTTTCCACATAGATACTGCTCATCAACAACTGCTGTGAGAATTAAGAGATTTCAGACTTTTTTTTTTATTCTTAGATTTAGATCTTTTGATTTTGTGTTTGTTTGACTGTTTGCTTGAAAGGTAACTAAAATGTGCATCAGTATAACTGTGATCTGTTGATTGACTAATCCTATCGGCTGTAAAAAGATATATAGTCATGAATCATAAAAAACATACAGGAAAGTTTAAAAAATTGAAAGAAATCTGAAATTTGTTTTAGAATTTAATCTGTTCATGTCCTGTACTAACTTGCGCTTGTTTCTCTGGTTCTCTCTCTTGCTCTCCTCTTACTCAGGCGAAACCTCACCAAGCTGTCCCTGATCTTTAGTCACATGCTAGCAGAGCTAAAAGCCATCTTCCCCAATGGCCTGTTTCAGGGCGACAACTTCAGGATCACCAAAGCTGATGCAGCCGAATTTTGGAGAAGGTCATTTGGGGACAAGTGAGTTTGTACGTTAATAAACATTAGACATCTCCAGAGATCAACTTGGCGAACAGAATTTTGGTTGGTTTGTTAAAATTCTGTTTATCTGTGCTTGTTTAATAGTTGCTGTCTGAGCTTTGGGTTTTGAGCACTTACATTCTGGCTCTCTCCCTCTGATGCAGGACCATTGTACCATGGAGGACATTTCGCCAGGCTCTTCATGAGTTTCACCCCATCAGCTCAGGCCTGGAGGCCATGGCCCTAAAGTCCACCATCGACCTCACCTGCAACGACTACATCTCTGTCTTTGAGTTTGACATCTTCACCAGGCTCTTCCAGGTAATAACAGTAGAGGGTTACACGCCGATGTAGAATTAACAGGTCTAAACTCTACTTTTATGAATTATTTCTAAAACCTCAATGTGAATTAAGAGTTACTTAGAACATCCGACACCTTAAAAGAAAATCACATGTAATAATAATTTCAGTCATTAACAAGTTTAACAAATCCAAAATAATGCAGGTTGGAGTGGAAAAATGTGAAACTTTAGCTGGGGTCTGACATCTAGGAGATGACGTTGATTGCTTTGACCCAAGAGTTTCAGTTTGGGCTGTCATCAGTCCAGCGGAAATTTCTGCAGAAGGAGACAAGAAAGACAATGCAACTGAAAGTAGGACATCATCAAGTTTGAAAGCTCTCAATCTGCAGAAGCTGCAGAATGAGTTACTTGTTGATTATCTGACACTGTGCAGTGGTGCTTTGTACCCCCATACGTATGTGCTGTGTGCCTGTTATTAAGTCATGTGAGCTTGGAGTTCAGCCAAACCGAAGGCCACCCTTGGTGTCCCCTCTTGACTTAATAGTGTCATTAGTGTCTTTTGTTGATTAATTGATTATTGGTCAGGGAAACTGCCTTGGTGATTTCTTATGAGTTGCTGATTAACCCTGTGGAACTCCCCTGTAAACAAACATTAGTTATGTTTATATTCAGTGTTGCTGACCAAAACTACATTGTGTACACTGCACTCTAACATACAAAGCTGTCTGTATCAGGAACACTTTTTTTTGTCTGTCTGTGTGTTTTGTAGCCATGGTCATCTCTTTTAAGGAACTGGAACAGTCTGGCAGTCACACACCCTGGTTACATGGCCTTCCTAACCTATGATGAGGTCAAAGCCCGACTGCACAGATTCATCCACAAACCTGGCAGGTGAGATACAGATGAGCCCTTAAAACCACAGATACGCATCAGCAGAAATACTACAGAAACAAGACTTGTTGAGATGTTGCTTCCTCATAATCTAAAAGTTCTGGACGCATCTATCGAGGCTACTTTAGGTCACGAGTCGGATTCCAAACTGTATTCAACATATTGTTGCGACTGAACACGGCCAGTGTGAACTTATTGGTTGAGCTTGTCTTCTTGTTTTCAGTTACATATTTCGGTTGAGCTGCACTCGGCTGGGCCAGTGGGCGATCGGCTACGTCACAGCTGACGGGAACATCCTGCAGACCATCCCCCATAACAAACCACTCTTCCAAGCCCTCATTGATGGGTACAGAGAGGGATTGTAAGTCCCATTACAACACCAAGTACCAGTACATTACAGGGCATATTATACTATAGTTTATACATGTCTGCTGTGTTTCCCACTACACCAAAGGTCAAATCAGGAGATTCTGAAGGTTCTTAAGCTAAAGGCTTTGGTGCATCCACCACAGTCACACACATCAGTGGTAACATTTTTAGTAAAAAAGTTATAATCAAGCTTTAATAAAACATCACTTTTGTAGCACAGTATCAGAGCATACATCTTGTTGCTGTATAAAAGGAACTGTTCACTGAAAATCTATTTTTAAACCTGAAAGTTGTCTGTAAAAGGGGTGGAGCTTGCTGCTCAGTGTGGAAGACAAGCATGGAACATTTCAGTGTTTCTCAACTGACTATTTTGGTTTTGCAGCTAAGTTGAGACCTATTTTACAGTACTGACCTTTTTGTGGTGTCTCTTACGTATGTGGTTTTTCTCTAGCTATCTGTTCCCAGATGGCCGTGCACAGAACCCAGACCTCACCGGGCTGTGTGAACCTTCTCCACAGGACCACATCAAAGTTACTCAGGTTTGGCCTTGTTTGATTCTCATTTGCAAACCAGCAAAACCTGTTCTTATGCCTCAGCTGTTTTTAGTGCTAAGTACATACACAATAGGCACACCGAACAGGACGTATCAGTCAAATTAGTGCTACGATATATAGACCACTGGTACTCTTTGATAGAAGTAGACTAAAACATTAACTTAGTAGACTTTAAAGACTTTAAATGTAGAGTTATGAATAAGAAAAATCTTTCTGGTGATAATGATGAATGAATAAAACCCTTTAGATTAAGAATGACATGACCAGTGGTCACTATAACAGCCTGTCTCCTCCACCTTCATGTCTGCAGGAGCAGTATGAGCTGTACTGTGAGATGGGCTCCACTTTCCAGCTTTGTAAGATCTGTGCAGAGAACGACAAGGATGTCAAGATCGAGCCCTGCAGACACTTGATGTGCACCTCCTGTCTGACTGCGTGGCAGGTTTGTCAGCATGATATACATTTCCAAAGCCTTATTTCTATAAGTGCATCCTAGTAATTGTACTCACCACTCTGCTGCTCCAAGTTTCAGAACAGATATGCCATTCTCACTTACTAATTTTAGTTCAGAGATTTTACTGCATCATAACATGACCGCTCTTATATGTTAAGATGCTGAAGGTTGTTCATGTTCTATGGTTGTAATTGCATCTTTACAAATGTTTATACTTTTGGATCAAGGCTTTTGTCTTTAAACAATGTGAATTACTTGAAATTATATAACTTATTTAAATTATTATTTAAATACTTTACACTGTTTTTATCTTTACTTTTATTGCTTCAGCATATCTTCCTGATGCTCATTGGTTTTTTTTTGGAAGTTCCCTGCACTGTGTTAGAGAGACATATTAGCAATTTGTGTGTGAGCTAAAGTAATGAGTCTCCACTATGACAAAGTCCTCACTCTGCTCTCTCGGTGCCTTCTCTGTGTATTTATCAGGAGTCAGAGGGTCAAGGATGCCCGTTTTGCCGCTGTGAGATTAAAGGCACAGAGCCCATCGTAGTGGACCCCTTCCACCCAAAGGCCAGCGGGGCTTCCTTTGCTGGTTTCCAGGGGTCCAGCAGAGCAGACGCTGCTGGGAACGATGAGGAAGAAGATGACCGCCTGGAGGACCAGAACCTGGTTATGAGCAGGCTGGCCTGCACCAAGGTAAGAGGCCCACATACAAAAGCTTTATATGTCGATAAGCCTCAACTACACAAACCTCAGGCCAACGCACACTCACCTGATTCTGTTAGTTTAGATTATAGTAGTGAAATCTCATCGCTGGTTCAGTGGAACATTTCCAAGAGCATGTGTGTGTTTGTGTGCGGCTGCGCAGGTAGATCGCCCATCGTCTCCAGTGTCTCAGCTGCCTCCGGTGCCACCCCGGCTGGACCTCCTGCAGCAAAGACCCTCCAGTTCCCACAGTGCACTGGGCCAGGGGGCCACACCCAAGGTCTGTGTAAAAGAGTGTGCACTAAAGACGAACAGTGTTTTAGACCCCCTGGTTGTGGATGCACCTAAGGTTAGACCTAAAAGACATGTCTACATTCTTTCAAGTCTGTCCTAAAACAACACTTGTGCCCGTAGTTAAAGAGTAAATGGTCATTGTAGTTGCTCCCCCCTTCCAAAATGGCTGTCAAATGGTCCTTTCCTAACATGATTCCAATAGAAGAGATGAATGTCATAATATTTTTTCTAGTTTCTAACACCAGCTTTCACTCCTACCTCCACTCCAGATGGCAGCCACTCACAGAGACAAGCCTCTGCCTTTGCCTCCAGCCCTGAGAGAGCTGCCCCCTCCTCCCCCTCCGGAGCGCCCCTCCCTGGTCAGTCAGGACTCCAGACTCCAGAGGAGACCCCTGCCCTCCACCCCCGACCAGCCCGCCTGGGCTGCCAACTACATGGTCCCACGTCCTACAGCCAAGGCCCTGTCAGCCCTGTCCACCACCCCTCAGAGCAACGGAGCCAGTGGCGAGGGAAGCAAACCCCCGTCAGCTACCAATGCTGTCTACTGTCTGGCTGGGAGGTATGGAGCCGTGCAGTGGACACGATGAGACCACCTGTAAAAGGAGTGATTAAAATGATGCAGTCATGACAACAGTTTTTAGAGTTTGACATTATTACTACACAAAGAGGCAATACATAAACTAGCTTTTAAAGAGAAGCCCTTAACCAACTTCATTCTCACATGGCTGTGAGTGAATCTAACTATAATTTTGTAGGACAAATATTTTCCTACTTTTTATTCTGGCTTCTGTTTTCTGTCAGACCTTCATTTAGATCATATGGCTTAACTGCCACTTCTGTTTCATATCGCAATTTAGTGAACAAACAAAACGCATATCACTTGTAAATTGATCTGATTTATAAACTGCGAGATTAAAGTCCCCCCTGTGTACGGTCAGGTCTCTGCCGGGAGCAGTGGTGCTGAGTGGGGAGAAGTCGTTGTCGGACTGTGAGGAGAACGAGTACATGAGTCCTACGTCTCTTCCAGCCTCTGGTACTCCCTGGGTCATAACAGGCTCCTTGGTACCCCTACCACCGGTCCAGGCAAACCACCACAGTGAGATCAGGTAAACAAGAAAATACAGTAAGTGGTAATGCAAGGGCTTCCCGGGGCCATTCATTGTCCTGGAATTATTGTAAAGTATTTCTAAAACATTCTAGAGTAGAAGTCGGTGCTTGGACCAAGATTTTCGGAATGGACACGGGACCTAAAGTGTTTTTTTTCCCCACGTTTAGGCCTCCAATGCAGAAACCTCACAGGCATTTTGTTTCCTTGTCTCTGCATTGGAGACGAAGCCTTGGAGCAAAATTTTTCATGAAGTGATAACAAATGAAATTTCACTGGTGTTGATAGTAATTGGTCATGTATTGGGTTACATTATACTGACAGGTGTCTCTATTATTTTGTCCAGCTCTAGGACAAACTAACAGCCAATGTGATCACACAGCTGAATCAACACCTCACTCAAGACCTCAACCGTGTGTCTCACACACAAAGCAATACTGGACAAATGTATCTAGGGTCAGTCATTCTTTGTCCACCAGGGGGCTCTGCAGCCTCAGTTTTGTTGGACCATGGGCTCTGCAGTATTACCCCTCATTTTCATGTCCTTGAGATGGGGAAGAAGAATTAAGTCTGAAATACAGGACCAGAAAGCACCCAGCAAAGCAATACTTAATACAGATACTTGCCAAATGATGACGAATGGTTTCATTCACTATATCAGATCTTTACTGTTTTGCTACCGCTGAACTTTTTATGTTCTCATATATCAGTATTATCGGTTTGTGATTTTAAATTAAAACATGGCCTGTTTTATACAGTTTCCTCTTTATTTCAGTTAAGTCTCTTTTAAATATTATTTTCAGGTAACTACAACTAAAGGTCTGCAGAGTCTTTTAAAAACAGAAAAGACAATTTACAGAAATCTTAGACAGGATTTTATGAGACAACAAAAAAATGGCGCCCCTAAATGATTTTTCTCTCTCTTTCTGTGCTTTGTCTGATTAGTGAGGCGGGGGACAGTGATTCTGAGGACCCCCAAGTCTACGAGTCCATGTGTAATATCCAGGCCCAGGCTAGTTCATCTGAGACGTCTGAGCTTTCAGACCCCGCACAACATTCAGATGTGGTTTCCCAGGACAAGAAGGAGGAGAGCAGTGTGGAGGATGTTTACATGTATAACTGTCCCAGACCGGTGGTCCCCCCAGCCCCCACCAGGAGAACCCTGTCGGATATGAGCGGTCCCTCAGCCGCCTTCTGCACCCTCAGCATGGACAGTGCAGTAGAAGCTAGTATGGAATTTATTTTTTACTCTTCTATGTTGGAGTAAAATGCAGCTGGTTAGAGATTTAAAGTTGACCTTGCAGTGATAAGGAAACAGGCTAAATTGGGTTATTTCCTGGAGTCATAGTAAACGTAAACATAAAACCTGTCTGGGTTTTTAAGTGTTACATCCAGTCTTATGTGCACTCTGTGTTAACTTAAATTGACCAACAAAAATCAGGTGCTTAAATTAACACGTTAACTAATAACTGCTTATCTGTGTGTTTCCAGGTATGTTTGCAGCAGGAGTGGACCCTGAACGACCCCCCAAACCTCTCCCACGACGAGCCAACTCTGACCGACGGCCTCGCCCTTTAAACCGTGAATTTCCTGCTCCATTGCTAGACCTCCCGGGCCCCTCCCCTCCTCCTCCTGCGGGCCCTGGAAGCCTGGCGCTAAACGGGGAGATCGAGTGCCTGATGTCCCAAGGTTACTCCATTCAGGACATCCAGAAAGCCCTGATGATCGCCCAGAACAACCTGGAGACAGCCAAGAACATCCTGCGCGAGTTCGTCTCCATCCCGTCCACGGCACACATCGCCACATAGTCGCTCCAGCCTCACTCATCCCATCTGTGTTGTCTGTCTCCGCTCCGTGCCATTATCATGGATAGCCTTTACCAAGCATGGCCAAAAGGCTTGGCTCTGTGTAGCGTTGCTGTGTTTGCATCATATCAGAAGGAGACGGAGATTACAGCTACATCACAGTGAGTCATTTGTACTTTGAACAAACCGCAGCAGTTATTGCTCTTCTAAGAGGAATTTTGGTGTGGAAAATAGATTATTTTGATTCTCTTGGACTACTGTTATGCCAGTGCCAAGTAGCTGACACCGAAGCCTCAAACTCTCCTGTTTACTCATAATTACCACTTGGATATTGAGGTTTTTGGGCCAGTTAGAAGGAGCACAAGGATGGCAGTGTCAAACCATTAGTCCAGTTTAGTTTAGGGAGCAGCTCAGTCTTGGAGGCAGACCTGAGATCTGATATGATCTGAACGCAGCATACACAGAGAATCAAAGCCAAGCTTTGGCCCTGCTGTACTTTGCTGAGGTCGACTCATGGCGTGGTAGTTTCTCCCCCTCAGTAAGAGTACGTTCTCTCATTAAGCTAAGTGTTGAAGCTACACTGACTTTAATCAGACGAGGGACCCTGCAGGTCCTCGTTCTCGACTCGGTGTCCCACTGCTGGCAGCCATTCACTTTGGTGCTTTACGGGCTTTTTGGCAAATTGTGGCGTACGAATATGTAGCGACACAAAGTTTGGTCAGAAATTAGTGATTAACACAGTGAAGTGTGTATGTGTGTGCTCATGCTGATGAATGTGAATGTCCAGTTGCAGTGCAGTATTGCGGGGCGGGGCTTCATGCCCTATGCGTCACTGTGGCTCACTCCGTTTCGGTGGCTATTTGACTCCATATCTCCTTTCAGCTCCTGGTATAATGATGGTTCTCTAATGAAATAACAAGTTTAGTGTTAAAGTTCTATCATAACGTGTTGTGCTGTGCAAGGTACTAACAATGACTGAAAACCCAGATGTTCATTTTGTCATTAAATTCCATGATTTCCTGCCACCATTTGAGGTGGTCAGACACTGAAGGCTGGTTTAGTCAAAAGCTTCTGTATACGCTTTGTTTGTTTCTAAAAAGTGAAAAGACTTGACCTGTTAGATTTCCTCTCATGTATTTTTTTTTTTCAGCGTCACATTTGTACCCAGAACAGCTTCACTGGGTTCATTAAGAAATCAGAATGAAGGGATTTACATCGAGCTCTAAAGCAAAAAAAACTGTGGGTGGTGTGTTGTTGTGGACTCAGGTACTAGTAATAAGCCAGGGTTATATGCAATGAAAATGCTAAATGACACATAGCGACAATGATATAATGTTGGCAGTGTTGTGGACGAGCACTTAACTCTTGAGTCACAGCACATCGTTACTGAGACATTCCAATATTTGGATCATCTTGCTAATTGCTACCTTTTTTTGCATTACAGTAACCTATCATAGTTAATATTTTTTTAAACTGGTTTGCAGTGCTTCCCCAAAGTCATTGACTTCCTCCAATTTCTAACTGGATTATTATACATCCTACAGTCCTGGGTGGCAGGTTTATGAAGCTCAGACATTTCAGTCACTCAGCAACTCAAATGCAACCTATAGGACATAAGTGCTGAGACAACTAGTTGGTTAATTGATTAGCGGGTGGACAAAAAAAAATCTGCAGCTACATTGATAGATTGTTAAAGTAAACATTTAACACTCCACATCTGTGTGGATTCATTGTTGCATTTGTCCTATGTGATAGTGAATCAGTCAGCTGGGGCTTATGGAGTGTTGGTCAGCTATTTGAAGATGTGTTTGAGCTTTGATTGCACATGGTTTGCACTGAATTAAAAAAAGAAGACTATCTCTGTGTGTAGGAACATCTTATTTTTGTCTTCACGTCCACCCTGGCAGCATTTTTTTTTTTAAAGCCATTCTGGCGGCAGGTACCAAGAGGGGTACCCAAGTACAGCGTCACAGAGCTGCTAGCACGGCTGCAGACTCCCTCTGTATTAAAAGTTCCTAAGGAGATTGGTTCCATCTGGTGAGCTCTTGTAATCAACAGTCTTTCTGTAAATAATTTAATGCTTTGCGGAGTGACTGAAATATCAGTTTGAGTCAGATCAGGGCTAGTCTGAATCTCAAATCATTTACATCTGCTCTCCATGTAAAAAGTTGAACTGAGTAAACTGAAGAGTCCTGTGGATTTTACTCAGGTGTTTAGATGTCTTTCCAGTGGACCAGTAATAAGCAGCTGTCACTCCCAGGCACCACACCTTTGCCTTTTATAATGCATCATCCTATCAGGGGAATTAGATGTCATATGGGCTGATGTGATAAGACAACCAGAGGATCACAGGTGCATTTAGAGCAAAGATGAAAAGATGCCTGTCATCAAAGCAGGGAGTCCAGACAACATCAGTGCAGAATACACACACACACACACACACACACAGTGGCAAGAAAAAGTGAGTGAACTGTGTGGAATTAACCTGCATTTATGCAGCCATTTGTCTTAGATCTTAGACAAACAGTCACAGGTTGGAGAGAGCATGTGAATCCAGGAGTTAGCAAACCTGGATCCAAAGGAACGAGCCCGTGGGTCAGAACTACTTTGACTTGCCTTTTACTGCCACTACATTTAAGAACACTGAAAGAAACGAGGGCTGAGCATCTCATTTCCCCTGTCCCATTTAGCTGAGTGCACTTTCTTCTTTTTGTTTTCTAAAATAGGTTTTCACTGATCTCTTATTTCTACAGTAATATATACAGACAACGTGCCTTTTGTCAAACACAAGCTACACATCAGCAGAGAAACCAAAACATCTCCACATTCACAGTTTAATGAAACAGAAATCCACACAGCTCCAGGTTTTAATTGGAAAATAGTTTCAGTTTTAGTATGTACTAAACACACTGACACTGAAAGACACTGAAAATAAAATGAAAATGCAGTTAAATGAGCATAAAGTCAGACCACGTTGGAACTGTAAGGCGTGGATTGATCCCGTCTTAGAGGACGAGACTGGTTGGTCTATCTGGCGTCTCGCTGCAATTCCACAGAAATCTTACAGCTTTAATTGCCCCCTAACCAAAAGCATTTCAAAGCAGCAAGCTGCCCTTTATAGTCCCCCTCAGCTTGTGTGGACGTACAAAAAAAAAAGCATCATCGGTCCCTAGGCTGTGTGTTTGGGTCATCTCACTGTTTGAACACTAACGGGGACTAACTCCTTGACCATGAAAGTGCTGCTGTGCAACGACACGCTAGAGGCCGACATCATCTCACGCAGACTTCCCCTCAGAGTTACTGTTCAATTCACTTGGTGTGTTGCTTCAGATCCACTGGTTAATGATTGTGGTATATAAAGATTAGCTCGCCTCCCTTTCAACAAGAACTTGCCTACTAAAAACATTGTCTTCATTGCTTTGTTATTGCCTGTGTACATATTTTATTTATTTTCTTTTTAATATCCTCAGCATTCATTGTTGCCACGTTTTCATGCCTAAGCCATTAAGATTTTTAATTAAACTGTATTTTCTTTAACATTTGGTCTGCGTGGTTTGTCCATAATGACTAAATGCAATATACAATTCACTCTATCTATATATTTAAAGAAATTTAGTATGTGGCCATGGTCCTGTCCCCAATAAAAAGTATATTTAAGGTTCGTTAAAGACACTGAATAAAAATTTAAATGTTTTTGATTCGCATGCTCTTTAGTGTGTCTGTGTCAGAAAGATACTGACTGGCCTGCAACGCATTTGAGCAGAGCAAGAAAATCAAAGCTGCGAGAAGCATGCTCTTATCACTTCAAATTAATTCTAATTCATTTGGATCTGAGCACAGCCTTCAGCTGGGGTTGTATATTTATGCTTAATGAGTAGAGGCTGGTTCATTTGTTTTGCTGTGAGTAGGGCAGCTCAGCACTAATGATGCCTGAATTTATTGCAGATGTGAGCTGCGTTTTCTGTCCTTCCTCCTCCAGACTCCAGCTGGAAATCTGAGCTACTGTTGGAATCATTTCCAGCTTGTGCTGACAGCGGTTTGGAGGCAGCGCCACTTCCCGTCTCCTCACTGTGGGACTATGCAGCGTTTAGACAGAGCACATTGAACTCTGTTGTTCTGGTACATATTGAATCCTCAGGCAAAGAAAAAGTCCAACAGTGATTATATTTCAAATACTTGTTCATACCTCTGCAAAACATGGTAGAATGAAACATTTTATTTATCATTTTCCTGCAAAAAAATATATATAAAAAAAAAAAGACGCAAGCATCAAAGAGTCACGTGTACAGTACTTAATTTACACACATTTAGAAAAATGTCTTTTGCAATGTTCAGTTTTAGACTCATTTTACCACTGTGGGAAAAATCCAGAATCAACAAGGAATGTCATATTTAAACTGAAAAGAGGCGGTGCGTATTTACTGTATAGCTCAAATCTAAAGAATCTGACTGCACACAGGAGATGCTTTAATGGCTTTGTACACCCTTCCTAAACATCGCACTTAATGTGAGAACGTTTGGTGCCTGAAGACATCCTACATCTGGATATTTCTATAACGTTAACACCAAAACTCAGTGGAAGAAAAATAAAGAAAACATCACTACTTTGTTAATGTTGCAAGTCACTGGGGCAATGTAGCGCTCTCTCCAACAGAATGTCTTTTCATAATAACCTACATGGTCAGCAATCAGAACGTCATAATACAACACAGGTCCTTAAGTAGAAATCCACTGTTGATGCATGTTTCAGCCAATTTTTTCCACGAATGCTTTGTAACCCCAGTTTTTGCTCTCATCTATTATCACATTTGAGTCAAAGCTAAACCAATTTCCTGAAATCTGAATCTCTATCTGAAAAGCCCAGAAGGTCTTTTAATAGCATTTACTTTTTCTCAGCCTCTTTTAAACAGTATAGAAATAACTATTCCACCTGTTGCACAATGTTTAAGATTGTTACCCATTTATTCCCACTATTTATCTGAAAACATAGCTGGAAATTAGATGCATTTAAAAAAAAAATTTACATTAGCAGTACAAACATTAACAATAATATAACTTGGTTCACAACAGTGAAGGTGATATATGTCACTTCCTGCTATCATCTCTTTTTGGATTTAGGAAATTGGGATGAATTTTGGGGAAAATTCTTCTCTCATATTATGATCCTATTTTTTTTTTATACAGATTGTTAGAGGAGTCTGAGGACCGGGGCTTGTCAGTGATAGTCAGTGACGTCTTTTTTCAATCAACCAAGTGTCTGTCTCTGGCTCTGAAAAACAAAACCTAATGCTCGAAAAGATCCATTTCAAAACTTGCAACATGTAACATTGGCAGTTCTGTACTCACGGTATAGGGCTTAAACACACCCAGCTAACAAAGAAAACACTCAGAACAAAAAAGGAAAAAAAATTCAGTGTATGATGCATTCTCAAAACAGGCACAGCAGATCACCAACGTCCACCTTCAGTAACAGTCCAAGATCACCTCTAGCAGGTTTGTACACTACTTGTATTTACAGACAGTACAAAGGCTTGACAGCAGATTGCAAAAGAAGGTCACCAGTGTCTGACTGACAGGTTTTTTTATTTAGACATTGTTACGATTAAGATGATCCTGCATTTCAAGCTTTAGTGTCTCCTGGTGCTGATCCCACCTCAACAAAACACTGATCCTGGAGGAAACGCCTACTGTCGTTACTGTTGGGCAAAATCTACAAATATTGGTGTCAAAATCAAACTGAAGCAAACAACACTAACACGCCTTCTCTCAGTGTGACTTAATCAACAGTAAGCTGCTGCACCTGGACCCATGAACCAGGACCAAAGTGCGCATGACCCAGATGCTACCGTGAAATGAAAATCTGAGTGCCGCAATATCTTAAATAACAAAATATTTTTAATACATACACTTTTAGGAAAAACAAAAGTCGCCGATGCATAAAAGACATCGTCAAACACACACACTGAACAACAGCCAAAAACTGAACACCATTTGAGGAAACAAATGGAGAAACTGAATGTCGAGGAAGCAAACGTTCATTTAAAATAAAATACACATCTGTACATAGATAGCTGCATGTGCCTGTGTGTGGTCCTGTGTAAATCAACTGAATACTGCTCAGAACAAAGCATGAATGGGGATGTCCAGAGTATGAGGTGGTGTTACCCTGCAGATCTCAAATCAGTGGGAGCGTCAACTGCCTCCTCTGCTTCAACGCACACTGACTGCTGGCTTCAGTTGTCCTGTATCCTGCAGCACAACATTGCTGCTTTACAATCAGGGACTTTACTGAAGGGGACAGAGGAGGACGTCAGTGTAACACCAGCTCCACACAAATACACAGAGACAAAGGATAAACTGTCATTCTGCCAACTACTACTACATATGCTTGTAGTAGTAGTAGTTTTGGCCAATACCTTCTATCAGCTGACATTGTAATTACCAATTTAACTACTGAGATCTGCAAAAGAAGCATGCTTGGCTAAAAGCAGTCTACTCAAACCAAGCCAGGTTAGCCAAACTTATGTGACAGAGAAAACAGGGTAGGTGAAATTATTATCCATCCTTGATTTGCTGCTTAACATTTAACCTACTGTACTTAATCATAGTTACGCACAGTTTTCTTGTGCAATAAAGGGTTAATTATGACCACATTTCAGCACTGAAACCAGTCCATTAACAATACAGTGAATGCAAAAGAAACAACTGTTAGAGGTGCACACACAGAGCTTTCCAAATTCTGCATGCTAGCAGCTGGTACGGGGTTTATCTGTAACTGTTAAATAATTAATTCAAAAGACAGCTATTAGCCCTAAAACTGACATGCATTATTTTTTTCACTCTCTATGGGTTTTAGCACCTCCCTCAGGACAACCTTTACATCGTAGCCCCACAACTGGTAAAGCATAAGAAAAGCCACCTACGCTGACTGCTGTGGGAAGCAATGAAAACTGAGCCAGCAGATCTTTGGCTTTTGGGTCTTTTTTTTTAACATTGTGAAATTATGACCACAATAATTACCTGGTCATTAGGGCCCTTTTTGTCTCCATTGACAGCCTTTAGGAGGATAGCTTCCTCATTCTTTGTGTTGGTCTTCATCTCCACAACAATGTCATCTTTGGTGGTCTTCTCTTTGGTGCTGCTGACAGAAAGAAGGGTTGGCACTAGAGGTCGTCACAGGTCCACTCAGCTCTGAGCAACTGAGACCTGATCTGGCACATCAGTCAGACCATGTACAAATTCTATTCGGTCTAATTAGGTCAACTAGGGTCTCCGTGGATCTGAGGAGTGGATGTGAAGCGCACAGCGAGAGTCATCTGTGTTTTGATGTGAGGTAGAATGTGGGATAAAATACACTGAGTATGATCCTGGTAATGAAGGAACATGCCACCCACTCCAACACTAATGCTCAATAATGTTCTTTATGAGCTTTATAGTGAAGCTCTGTGGTGCAGAAGAATAAGATCAATTCATTGTTCATTGTGGTCTTCTCATGGGATTTGTTGACATCATTAAAATATAGAAAAATAAACAGATTTATTCTTTAAAAAATCTGTGTTGTTCTGTAAACATACAAATTTAAAATAACGAGTACTCACATCTCCTGCTTCCCCGAGCGTCCACAAAGGATCTTCCCCTTCTTGTGCAGGAAGTACAGAATGCTGCCAAGGGTGGCCAGCAGCAGCAGACACAGTATGATCACCACTATGATCACCCCACTGCCCTCAGCTACACAAACACACAGAAAGCAAGGCATTCACATGTTGGTGTCATTTTGTCTAGCAATGTTGCCATGTTGACAATAGTGTGGTGTTGCATGATATTTTGGCAGTCATAAACAACAATGTGGGCAATGAGAGATATTCAAAATAAATAAACAAGTAGAAGCCAGAAGGGGGATAATGATGACGTAAACATTTGAGATTTAGCATGAAGCAAAGTTTAATTTAGGACCTTAAAATGCACTTGTGCAACAACAATAAATAAAGAAATATTGGAGAGGAGGTACACTGAAAGCCAGCTTGAACAAGTAAGCTTTGGCTAGGCTTTTTAAAGTGCTCGCTGAGACTGAGTCTTTAACCTCTGCTGATTTTAGGCAAGCAATCTTTGTATGTGTGCAATACTGTAAGAGCAGCAGTGGGGTACTGGAGGACCTAAGGGCATGGGTTGGCACATATGGTGTTAGTAGCACTTCAGTACAGGCTGGAGCTAAGACATTTGATGCTTTGCAAACTTGACATTTTAAACTCAATTCTAAAGTTAACAGCAAGATTGTGTATTGGTATTATGTGCTCACTCTTCCTGGTTCTGGTCAGTGCTACTGAGATCATGAATCCTATTACAATTTTCAGTGTAGTTCGATAAAGTTTTGTTGACAGGGAAGTTTCATCAGCCTTCACACAAAATAAATCACATCTGCCTGAGCATACAGCTTTTGGACAAAATCCTGAGGGGAAAGACTTTATAATGGCGCACCACATAGTTTACACATAAAAGTCAGGTCAACAGTCTTGTGCCTGTGAAAACAGTTGCATAATGTCTTTGTGTCTCTGGGAAAGCTTTGTCAAGTCTTGTAAAATGACCCAAGTAACCCCCAGCTTGGGCTTAAGCTTTATAACAGAAAGCCTGAGATGTTTACTATGCAGAAAGAAAACTATGCCACTGGCTGCATTATAAGAGTAGGAGCCTCTGACCCACATCATTTCTAAACTTTTTTAATCTGTCTTTGGCAAGTCCCAACTTTATGGAATTGCTGAAGTACAGAAGACAGTCTGTTCTAGAGCTTTTACATCATTTAAATCATTTTGTTTTGTAAGTGGATTATTCAACAAAGTCCATTTCCTTATGCATAAAAAATAATTAGCCAAGCATGAAATTATGCCAGTGTCATTAAAAGTGGCAAAGGACACTGCAGTGCAGCAGGACTGCAGAAAAATGTCAATTATTTTGCTCGGCATCTATGGTCCTAAGTCTCAATAACCCACCTTATTTACATTATCCATCCATTATCCATCAAAAACTGAAAAACAGACTCATTTACTCTATGGTTCTCCAGTGATATAATTTATTCTTATAACAGATCTTCCACTTGTAAAGTGTGTTTAGAAACCATTTTGCTCTGATGGACTGTGTTTTTGTCGAGTCAAAGTGACTGACCATATGACTCTTAGAAGAGATTCTCAGACATCTGAACAGCCCCTAATAACATCGGTGAACAATTAGTGAAGCAACCAAATATGTACTTCCTAGAAGAAACATTTTACTAGAGATGAACTTCACATTGTTTCTTTTTGTTATCATTTTTTTTATGAGTGCCCATTGTATTCCCCACAGGCTAGTGAAGATTTTAGTTGTATGAGGCTCAGATAAAGTCAGAACATTACCTTAAAATAATGCCTCTCTGCATATGTAACTACAAATTTCCTGGTTTATAAAACAGGTATCTGGATAAGTCAGTAAAAGTAAGACACTTTGCTTGTTTTTAGTGTTATGTAAGGTTTTTTTGTTTGCTTTAAAGATTGTGGGTTATGCAAATGTTTTTACCACTGCAGAGCATTAGGTCCAAGCACCATTATAAATGCTGGGGTGCTTGAATCTGCTGCTGATTTGATTTTTCACTCTGTATCAAACAGAATATTTAATATGGCCCCAGGCTATCCCAAAGATCTGCCAGTAAACCAAAGACAGTCCTGTTACAGAGTGCATGAAATCATAAATAATGTATGGAGTCCTCCACCCTTTCATTGTCACAGACAGAACTAAAGCATAAACACTGAGACAGAAGAAACTGGGTGAACGGCAATGATGCGTCTTTAACAAGAAGAGGCGTTAGGACAATGGTCTTACCAGGAGAGAAGGGAGCAGCGGAGGTGATGCTGGGAACTGTGAACAAGAAGAATGACATTTAGAGTGGGCAGCTGTCCACATCTGCCAACATTACCCCGGTACACACAAGACTCATGTCCCACAAACACGATGAGAAAATCTGTTATATGAAATGAGCAAAAGTGTTTTTGAAAATTCTGTAGACACGTAGGGTTCCATTGCTCATAGAAATAAGCCCACTGATAAAATATGTTTTCAGGAAGGAGAGTTCTTACTGGCTTTAATGCTGAAAATTTTGACTTCAGCACCCATGTTATTTGAAACGTTGCAGAGAGCGTTGATGTCTGAGGTGACTTTGACTGACACCACACTGTGAGCCATGTGCTCGTTTGCCTTGCTCACCACCTCATCCCAGGACTGTGGAGACACAAACACACCTTGGGTACTATATGCACATTTCTACCACTTCACGAGTGAGAGTACAGCTGGTTTCAACTAGAGGTGAACTGCTTGCTATTGTCTTGGCCAATTCCAATGTTTTTTAAGTGTGACCTGTCGATTCTTTCTTTCTAAAAACTGTAAGTGTTTTGAAATAGTTATCAAAACAGATATAACTTTTCAATTAAAATTCAAATTAACCATAATCAGCCCAAACATCTGTGCTTTCACTGTCTGAGGCTTGAAGCATTTAGTTTGACTCTGCCACCACAGTAATGGCAGCAAGTTAATCCATAATATTGCTCTCATCATCTTCACATTGACCGTTCATCATTGCAACAAACCAAACTAGGATTTGCATCTCCTACTGTAACACGTTACCACTTATTGTGAAGTTAGTCAGTGCTGTGAGTCAGACTGGATACCTGGCTGCCGACGATGTTCCAAGAGATGCTGGGCACTGGGTAGCCCACTGCCTCACAGCTCAGGTTCACCACCCTGCCTGCTGACTCCGCCTGCAACACCTGATCCACCCCAAGCAACTGGGGACCACCTAGACACAAACACAAGTTTGTTTACATAACCACTACCTGCCAAACCCTAACCCTTAACCTAATTTTAATCTCACCTTAACCTTAAATCAAGTTGTTGCCCTAAGGTTTAATGATTTACATGATGGGGACCATCATCTGATCCCCATGAGGAAAGCCAAGTTCCCACGATGCGAGTGTGTCGACAGGTCTCAGTCCCCACAATTTGAGTAATACCAGGCGTGCTCATACACACACAAAGTCTTCTATCTTTGTGAGGACATTTACTACTATGAGGTCCTAAATGCCTACCTCCAACACCACCCTAATCTAACTTGAACATAAACACAACTCTAAAGTCAAGCGTGAATCCTCAAATATCTCTGAATGTGTTCCAGAAAGTGACAACTGTTCTCACTTTCAAAAAAGGTCCTGACTCCCATGGTATAAAACTAACATGCTGTAGAATCAGGTACACTTACACACACACAGTATTCTGTGTGCACATTAATAATTCTGAAAGTGTGTTTACAAGTATAGTTCATCAGGTTTTAGTAAGAAGCCTGTTTTCTGCTCTGATTCTGTTTTAATTTGCTGTTAATTTGAACTCAGCACTTCCTCTAAAGCACATGTGTCAAACTCAAGGACCGTGGGCCGTATGCGGCCCGCGAGATCATTTTATATATCTTTTTTTTCATGGCCCGGCGATATGAGGCGCCGATAACACACAAACTACAAATCCCATAATGCAGTGCAACAGCTGCCTTACCGAACGATAGGCTACCTGTGATCATTCCCGTGTCAATTATGTCAGATCAATCAAGCATCTGTTGACATATACAACCCTAATTTCAAGTCAAAGCTAGTCCCTAACAATGACCAAGAGAAAAGTTGATTCTGAAAACAGAGCCTTTCAAAACCGGTGGGAGGCTGAGTATATGTTTACTGACATTGCCAATAAACCCGTGTGTCTTATTTGTGGAGCTAATGTGGCTGTAATTAAGAAATATAACCTAAGAGGTAGGGCAGTCGTCTACTGACCAGCAAGTTGGTGGTTCGACTCCCGGTCTCCCCGCATGCCTAAGTGTCCCTGAGCAAGACACTGAACCCCGAATTGCTCCTGGTGGCTTGACTAGCGCTGTGAAAACAAGTTTATATTGCAGCAGAGGAGAAAATCAGCCCGGCCATTTACCGAGGGAGAGTTTCTGAAGAGCTGCATGATGACAGTGTGTGACGTCTTGTGTCCAGACAAAAAGCAGGTGTTTCCAAACGTAAGCCTTAGCAGAAATACGGTTGTTGATTTTAAGTTCAAGTTTATTTATTTTGGAATCATATTGTATCCTGTCTGTTTCGTTTCATATTTATGTTCAAAAAACATTTAGTTTTAGTCTGTTCAATAAATGTTTATCCTGTTTGGCCCGCAACCTAAAGTGTGCTTAGAGTTTTGGCCCCCTGTGCCATTGCGTTTGACACCACTGCTCTAAAGTATGTTTTACCTGTTGGCTTGAAAATTTCAGGACAAGGTCGTTTAATATTCACCACTCTGTTGCTTTGAACTTTAACAGAAATACTGCTCTCACTCACTAATGAATTCCAGTCTGCTCCACTTAAATTTGAGATTTAGGTTTCAAATTAA